ACATATATAATAAAGAGCAATACTTTACTTTAGTGAAATGTTTGATGATTTTACTTGCTTTCATGCTCTAAGATAAAACGCGCCTGTCTTTATCACTTATTAATAGCGCATAGAAATAAAAAACATTGAAAATTATAGTGCTTAAAAAGAACTACCGCGAATTTCACAGTATTTTTAACTTGGAAGAACCTATTTTTTTCAAGACGATTCGATGTGTCTAATTGAGACGAGTGCAACTATTTTCTAGACATACTCGATTTTTTTAGAGAGTTGGGCACTTGATTGAGACGATGAGTATTATTTCAAACCAATACATATTTTTATTCAACTTCTAAAACTTCACAAGTTTGGTGATGCCACTATATGAAAAGATACATACCAATATGTCAATGATTAACAATGTTTATTAATTGACTTTAATCAAGATCCTCTTTATGGTTTACAGCGGTAGAAGCCTTTAGCAATAATAAACTTTATTTAAACACAACCAATAAGTAAAAAGTAAAATAGCATAAGAAAAATAATTATTACATATCTTTCTGAAGCTGGAGAAATAGAGATAGTTGCAGCTACTGTCTATGTTTAAAAGATAAAAATAGTCAAAAGAATACTTGAAAACTCGATTAGGGGGATTTATTCAATAAAATTCAAATGAGGACATTTTGGTATAAAGATGATCCAGGTATTTATATTATTTTGACAGACGGATAATCGCAATGAGAGAATGGGAAACTAAATGAAGTTCTTGATGTCGTATGCAAGCTATATAATATCATGGACGTATTTTAACAGATCAAACTTATATCAAGTCACATTCTAAGAATACATGTGCTAATGATTAGGCGGTCTCAGCTTATACACAACTAGTCTCAAGTTCTTATCAGTTCATTTATGACACAATACACTAGTCAATGAATGTAGTATGATATTATCTTAGTAGCATATTAATAGCCGTGTTGAAGATGACACGATATTTTAGAGACATTTGGTGTTGTCTCATTTAGCTCAGCAATTCTTGTTTATATATAAAGATTTGGTTTTAATAAAGTTGTCAAGACGTTAGTTCTGTCAGTTTAGTCTGATTACTTTTACTGTTTTTTATCGTTTAGATAGTTTTTTGTATATCCTATAGTCTTATAACAGTAGAATATCACACTTGATAAGATCGCGCATGGATTCAGATGTGTATTTCGGATGAAAGGATAGTATCGAGCAATGATTCAAACTTGCATATAAAGCTTTCAAGATAGTGTTATTTTTATTTGATTTGTGAAGTATTAAGCATCGTCTTGTAATATGTTTCAGAATTGAAGGTGTTCCTGCAGGTGAGTGATCCATCTTGCTGAGTGTCTATTCAGGATGTCAGTTCCAGCGGAGCTTGCGTCTTGAGTCAGAATAAAATCTCTGACGGTGCCTTATTGCCCATGTACGGGTCTGGGGTCAAGCCGCTCACATATATTGATCTCGTGTAAACAGTCTATAAAATCTTCCTACTAGGTATTCCTCTTAGTTCATTAAACAGATAGCCATTGTACCTTTAACTGATTTTACCTTTTCTTCATGTTTCCTCTGTATAACCACATGTTAGAAATGGCATGTATAGTTACAGAGTAACTAAGTTAAGGAACCAAGTCAACAAGACCTTAATCTATTTTAATGATAAAAGTAAACAACAAAACAAAAAGTTACTACTGTTGGCGATATCTTTTCAAATGATGATAATACCTAACAGCAGTATCACGCAGTTTTTCACCAGAAACATCATCTCATTAACATTAATACTTTTCGCATATGAACTATTTGATTTAATATTATCTTAAAGCCTATTATTTGCATTTTTGGAGAAGAAATAACTTGGAACGTGTATAGCAGAACCATTTTGAGGGTATCTAGAATAAAATGAAGAGTTGTAACTGATCAAAAAGTACAGGTATACACTTGTAGATTTTACCTTTTTTTGAAAGACAAAATGATTCGCTTTATCGAATTTGCAATAGGAATCAAAACTAATGAAGCTGAATCCACCACAAAGGATCGACCGCTTTTAAATTAATGAATGTCCCCAAAGAGCCGTCATATTCAGTCATAGTAACCAAATACACCTCAGAGGACCGACCATTCAAAAAAATACAAAAGCGTCCCCAGAGTGCCGTCAGATTCAGCTTCCAGTTTCGAAACTACGCAAATGCTAACAAAGCGACATCATTTTGTCTTTTTGCAAGCCATTACAAAGTGTATAGCAGAACCATTTTGAGGGTATCTAGAATAAAATGAAGAGTTGTAACTGATCAAAAAGTACAGGTATACACTTGTAGATTTTACCTTTTTTTGAAAGACAAAATGATTCGCTTTATCGAATTTGCAATAGGAATCAAAACTAATGAAGCTGAATCCACCACAAAGGATCGACCGCTTTTAAATTAATGAATGTCCCCAAAGAGCCGTCATATTCAGTCATAGTAACCAAATACACCTCAGAGGACCGACCATTCAAAAAAATACAAAAGCGTCCCCAGAGTGCCGTCAGATTCAGCTTCCAGTTTCGAAACTACGCAAATACTAACAAACGTGCTATATAGTGCTACAGCAGCAGTAGCAACAGTAACAAACGTGAGGATTTTGGACTTTTAGTTGACTAGAATCAGAACCGGAAGAAAAAACACTTTTCCACTTCAAGAGAAAAAAAAATAGGCAATCAACAATTTTTCTGATTACGTCGGATTTTGTATCGTGGGTTTCTGTCGTCATCAGTTTATTTTATCTGCATTAACTGAAGGAAAATTAAAAGAGTGATTCAAACCTTTGTGCTCTTAAATATGTATTTACGCAGGACAGCAGCTAAGGATTGGCTCATTTCAGACGCTTTGAGTGAATATAAAGTAGCATACAAAGGCAATGAGGGGGTTGACGCACTGAACTTGGATTTAAAACAAATTCTGAAAAATTCAACACAAGAAATTAAAATTAAAATGGCTAAAAAGTTGCTGGCCGAATTAAATGTTATTAAAGGCGATGATTCTAGGTTATTAATAATGCGAACGAGTAAACAAGACCTATTGTCTCATCCTTGGATGTTTATAGATCAAGTTCATATGAAATAAAAAATAATACGATTTATGGTCACCAAATCTTTGGGTCAGCCAATCATTTGAATATCGAAGGTCGAGGAGAGTCAGACACAGGTAAAAAGATATGAGTAAATAAAGCAAATCAATCCATTAAACACCTTAGCAGAAAAGCACAGAAGAAAAAAAGCAAAAAAAGTTAATAAGCTTGACAAAATTAACGATTTTTCTGTAAGACTACCAATAATAAACCTCTCCACTAGATCTAATTAAACTATAATAGAAAACGGAAACAGAGGGAGACGATGATGATGATATTACTTCTACTGACGCTTTGGAGGAAGAAATTGAGGTGCTCTCCATATTTAAACTTTTTTTTGTATTAAATAGTACTTCATATATAGTTTGGTGCTGAAGATGATGACAATATTGACTTTACTAGTGATTTGGATGATGTAGGTTCCATAATTTATATATATATATATATATTGAGCAAAAGAAAATAACATCTCATATAGGTTGATGCATTAGATTCTTCCATCAGCTTCCGAAAATGTGCTTACAAGTATTATTATTGTTTGGTTAGTACGCAAAAGACCCCTCCACAAAAATAGCTTACTAAAACAGAACTGGCTATAATATTTAGGAAAAAAAAAAAGAGGTTGGTTTGCTACCGACAATTGCTCACACCTTACTGGAGGAAACTGGTGATCACGCTCCACTTGACCGTTACACTCTTAAAATTCTTGACAAATGGGAAGCAAAAGAGAATGTGGATGCTGACGAGCAACAGTACTTGAGGTAACATACCAAACTGAAACTTTTATGGGATCAATCATAGTATGTAACCAAACTTTCAAATACTTGTTTAGACTAAGCATGTCACGAATCATCGATACAATGAATAAAAGAAATCCCATTCTTCAATTAATTGGTGAAGCAAAATTAAATGAATACAGACAGAAACTCAAGAAAGAAGACCTGAATTTGCCATCTACAATTTCAGATTTCATTAATAGTTTTAACAAGGTTAGTTATCCTAATGCTGTCTCGTACATTTATTATTTTAAACTTATCTATCTATTAGCAAGTGAAAGATGAAAACGAAAAAGATTTGATGCTTTTCATCATGCAAGCAAAGCTTGGTGCTTGGACACGAAATAATGAAGACTTGAAAAAAGTTATAGAAATCTATGAATATCTGTAAGTGAATGACACAAGCATCCTTTGACTTCCATGCCAAAGTCTGTACTGTCTTGAGGGTTCAAACCGTGACGGGAATTGTTTTTGAAGGGTATATACTAATTTTTTTTCACTTTGATCATTAACTACATAGGGTTGTAAATTTGGCCGAACTAAAGAATATCAACAAAACCTATTCCGAATTGCAATGCTTCTTTCCAGCATATCACATTTTAAGTATTTTATTCCGAGACACGAATATCAAAATAGTCATGTAAGTGTGCATATGGCCCGGAATTCCCTATGGGATATAATAGTATTAACTCTCGATTTATGATATTTAGCGGTGAAAAGGGATGTGATACCTCTAAAAACGCTCGAAAAATTAATGAACAATGTTTCACACTCAAAAAGCCTACAAATGTACGCGGAAGGAAATTAGACTTGATGCTCGTATACGACGATATTGTTCTTTGCTCTGCCGAATGGAAATCGATGGCTTCATCAAGAGCTGTTATTATGAAGCAATTTGTTAAGAATCTTCGTGTCAACAATTGCATACTTCATGAGTTGAGGGAACATTTGGACGATGATAATACTATAATTTTAGGAATGGATTGGAAGGGTACAAATAATAGTTTGAATACAATTTCGCATTTATTTAGATATCTCAACATCCATTTTCTCTTTTTATTTTCTTTTTTAGGATTGCTTGGTTATAGTTATTGTATGAAGGTGATAGACAAGGTGGTGGTTGTAAAAGAAACATGCAAACTATTCCTCCCTCAAGATAAATGTGAATTTGAAGATTTTTTTGACACAGTCGCATCACTTGTACAATTTAAGGTTAATTAGATAGTTTACCATGTTCCTGGAGTAGATATGATTGATTTAATATTTAATATTTTAGGCTCATTATGTTGATATGACTAAGAAATTAAAGGTCAAGATTTCCAAACATCGCCGAGACCGTTTCTATGATGAGCAGTTTAATATCACCCCTACCAACAGTCGAAGCCCCTCCCCACATACCTTTTTTACTCCAAAGCGGCCAACTACTGCTCGTCAACATGAAGAATAATTGTTGATGTAAAATAATAAAGTAACTGATACCAATTTATAGTTTTTTTTTGTTAAAAAAAACAAATCGTCTGAATTCCAAGTATTTTCTTCATTGAGAATTATTGAATTACGCTTTGGTCGCTGCCGCTTTTTGATCTAGCTCAATTATTTCTCATATTAATATGAAACCCGGCTTCATCAATGAAAATAAAATCCAGATCAGAATCTTTCCATTCCATAAACCACTCGAATCTCGTCTGTAGGTTTCCCACTGGGTTTCTGATTTCAGGTTCAAACATCGGTTTTTTCACAGTGATGAGCATTATGTTTCGTAAGTGGTTATTAAGTTGCGACTTTGATATAGTAAAGACTTCAAATCGCTTAGTCAAACTATTTATTATGTCGTCTGAATACAACTGGGGGTCATTATCAAGCTGCTCTTTTATATACTCGTTATGCTCGGTTGTAAATGAGCATTTCGGACCATTGTTTTCTTCAAACTTTTTATATGCAACCTCTTCTGTCCTTCGTAATACTTCCACCATCTTTACGCAGTGCAGTAATTAATATTTAAGTCTTTTGCAACCTTGGCCACTATTCCACGCGCTTGAGGACTTTCGAGCATACGGTATATAAATGTTTCTCTGGTGAAGTCGCTGTAATTGTTGCACAACTTCACTGATGGCTTCAATTTACTAGGTTTCTACTGCTTTCTAATTGAGGAGTCTTCGAACAATTTTTTCGGGGCGCTTAACGCTCAAGTAAGTTTGTCGACTAGTCATTGTTTCACGAACTATGTTGGGATCATCGACATGTGTTAAAACATCCTCCATCGGATCGTAAACCTTTTCTCCTTCTTCATTAAAAAATGTTTTCCTGTTCATCTTTATAAAAAAAAAAGGTATCCATCATTATGTTATAGTTCTATTAGGAAGAGAAAGGGACAAAAACAGGTGAGATATGCGACAATTAGGCGCAATCTTCCCGTCAATTTTAGTTAGGCTAGTTCCGACAATTGTTGGTCGTGCCTACAACAATCCTTGTTGGCTTCGCTCCGTCATTCAATGTGGTACAGGCTCCAAGAGCCGCGCTTTATTTTCCTTTTTTAATAAACTAATATAAAGTAATAATAACTAAATGATCCCTTTTCTTCTTTATACCTTCAAAAGCCGCGCATTCGTGGATCAAATTATGGAGAATATCAACACACCTTTATCAGAATTCAGCATGGAAGAACTCTATCAAGAGTTCTCTCGAAGAATGCAAACCGAACAAGAACAAAGATCGAATGGAGTACCAATACCGGTGGAAATCCTTACCGAATTGGAGAACAACACAGAGATACAACTTCAAGATAATATTAAAAGATTCAAACGTGGCCTGCAACGATATAATAGTAAAGAATGGCTTACTCCAGAAAGAATCAATAAATCTCTCTATAACGAACTCCAAAAAAGAAAAGTTGGGGCCAACGAAGTCATTAACGAAATTTATAAACTTACAGAAACTACCAGACAGCAAACCAAAGCAGCCATTGAAATTTACGAACAACTCACTCACGTACTCGAAATCATCGAAGGAGGACAAGACCCCAGATCACTCCTTAACAGAGCTCAAACACAGAGCCATCGTTTGGCAATCTTTGGACTCTTACAGGGAAAACTCCAGGGAAGAGAAGCAAAAATCCCCACTGCAGAAGCTCTCAACATGCCAACCAGCGTACAACATTTGTTACCAAAAAGAGAGGACAGCAAATCAAACGATACCTTTAGCGATGAATTTATGCAACAGTACCACCAAGCCATCTTCGAAAGAGGCTTACTCCAAAGAAATTCCTTTAACAATAATAGAGGACGAGGATATGGACAATTCTCAAGAGGTAAGAATGGAAACTCAAACTCGAGAGGGGGTTATAGAGGATCACGAAGACGAGGTCATTTTTTATCCCAAGGCCATCAATCAACCAATCACCAGGCGTACTACAGCAACAACAACAACAACGAACATCAGAACAAGCAGTAGCTTCGCCACTCCCATCCATAATAACTGTCAACAGCTTACACTATACTATTCTCCAAGATGGTCTACAACCAGGAGGAAGGCTACAACGCTTTGCAAGCCAATGGAAGAGAATAACCAACCACAAATGGCCAGTAACAGTTGTACAACAGGGATACCAGATACAATTTCATTCAGTTCCCACACCATGGAAGTTACGCAAAATATCACTAAACCAAACCGAACAATTAGCAGTGAACGAGGCGGTAGACAAATTCCTACATGCAGGAATAACCGAAGTATCACCAACACAAAACACCAACTTTCTGTCGAATTTTTTCACTATTCAAGAACCAAACAAACGACGACCGATATTGGACTGTCAACAAATCAGCAGCTTCATCCAGTGCCATCATTTCAAAATGGAAGGGATACCAGCACTGAGAGATTTAGTAGAACCAAACGATTACAATGCCAAAATAGACTTAAAGGACGCTTACGTAGTAGTTCCACTACATCAACAATCCCGCAAATATCTATCGTTTCAGCATCATGGGACGGTTTACCAATACAAAACACTAGCGTTTGGGATGTCAGTAAGCCCAAGAGTTTTCTCAAAAATGATGCGTTTTGCGACGGAACCTCTCAGGAAACAAGGTATCCGATTAGTTTATTATTTAGACGACATATGTTTATTAACAAAATCAAAAGAAGAGATGAACAAGGCCAGTTCGCAGGTGATTTCTCATCTGGAGAATCTAGGATTCATTATCAACAGAGAAAAGAGCAACTTAAATCCATTACAGCAACAGGAATTTCTGGGTTTCCAGTTCAATACCAAGAAGATGTCGATATCTGTACCGACAAGGAAGATTACCAAATTGATCTCGAGAATCAAACAAGCCTTACAACCCGAGATCAGATCATGCAGATGGTATGCCAGCCTTCTGGGCAAAATGACTTCAATGATTCCTGTAGTAGGAGAGGCCTTACTACATATCAGACACCTACAGAGGGATTTAGCAACCAGCCTACGCAATCATTCTCATCAATGGAATTCAAAGTTTTACAGATCGAAGGAGAGCAAACAGGAACTATTATGGTGGGCAGAACACATCACACAAAAGAACGGACTGCCAATCACGAAGATGAGTTCACAACCGCAACTAATCATACATGTAGATGCATCGGATATTGCATGGGGAGTCACATCAAAGGAACTTCAAACCACGGGTTATTGGACGACAGAAGAGAAAAACTAATTTATCAACGTACGAGAGCTAAAAGCAATATTATTCGCAATACAACTTCACGCAGTAAAATTCAAAAAGTCTTATCTAAAAATATATACCGATAACATAACCGCACTGGAATTCGTAACCAAACCAGGTGGTACCTCGTCACCGATTCTTCAAGACCTGGCAGTTCAAATACAAGAACTTTGCAATACATACAACCTGACAGTAGACTATCAGCATATACCAGGGAAAGAAAACATAGATGCAGATCACCTAAGCAGACAGACAGAGAAACCACTCTACGAAATGACCATTCCGAAAAAGATATTCCGAAAAATTCAACAACTTTGGGGACCGATGACAATCGACGCCTTCGCCTCGAGGACAAACCACCAATTACCAATCTTTTGGAGTTTCCGTCCGGATCCGGAAGCGGCAGCGGTGGACGCTTTTCAACAACAGTGGACGAAAAAAGGGATGTATCTATTTCCGCCGTGGGAATTAATTTCTCGAGTGATTCACAAGATAAAGGAACAGAAACTCACACAAGCGACACTGATAACACCTCAGTGGGAGACCCAGTATTGGTTCCCCATGCTACTGAGGATGAAGCAACTGTCACCACCAATAGAGTTCAAGATCAGTAGGTGGAAAATGATAGGATGGAATTTATCAACCAAAAAAGGAAGCGTGATGGTCTAAACCAAGATGATATTGAGTTTTTAGCACACAAGCATCGAAGTGCAACAATAAAAACTTACAACTCAGGCTGGAGAAAGTGGAAACAATGGTGTGATACACAAACACCGAATATTGATCCGCTTACGTATAGCGAAGACAGCGTTTTTCGTTACTTAATGGATAACCGCCACTTATCAGCACAAAGTTTAAATGGACTAAGATCCAGCATAGCATCCGTGTGGAAATTACAACATCCAAATAAACAACCGATAGCTGAACAATCTTTAATAGTAGAATTTTTTGCAGCTAAACGAAAAACAGAAATATTCATACCAAAACCAGAACAGCTTACAACTTGGGATACAGATCAAATCTGCACTTACATCAAGAAAACATGGCCAGTCAGTAATGAACTTTCTTTACACAATTTACAATTAAAAACCTTAGTACTCTTGTGCTTGGCAACCATGGGACGCCCTTGTTCAGATCTGGGACGACTACAACGTCAACATATCCAACTAACTTATAAAAAACAAAAAGTGGAAGCCACAACGTTACATTTTACTGAAGCAAAGGAAACACAAGTAAAGACGAGTCAGTTCGGACTTGTTGAAGATAGTGAAATGTGTCCGACTACTATTTTACATCTATTTCTACAAAAAACCAAGAACAATCGTGAACAACTTCCAGAGGATCACACACTCTTCTTAACACATTTAGATCAAGACAAACCATCCACATCAATCAGACCAGCAACAGTAGCCAGTTGGTTATCAATGGTAATGAAGAAAGCAGGTATCAATACCAACATATACAAACCACATAGTTTCAGAGCAGCATCTAGTATTAAAGCAGTGGGAAAAAGTCATGGAATAAAAGAAGTTAAACAACATGCAAATTGGAACCAGAACGCAAACACGTTCGAAAAATATTACTATAAGCCATTAACTCAACAAACAGACAGCACACAAATTATAAATTCAATTTTTTCTCAATTGGAAACCCATACCACATTCAATGACGGAGCTGAGCCAACAAGGATTGCTGTAGGCACGACCAACAATACAGAAGTTGGCGAAGCGAAGTCAAAAAATGTGGTACACCCGCCCAATTGGTATTAAACATGGCTTCAAAGGTTTTTTAACTAATCAAAAAGTTGCCGAAGTGGAAGGAGAAGATGAGGTGGTAAAGGCTCTTTCGTGCCACGCTTTATTTTCAGATAACATATAATAAAAAAATTTTTCAATTCCTATTTC